CTCACCCTGTTGCCCTAGGTAGAGTGCCGTGGCATCACAGTTTGCAGCAACCTCAAACTTCTGGGCTTAAGTGGTTCTCTTGCCTCAGTCTCCCGAGTAGCTGCGACTACAGGCACCAACACAGTGCAGACGTGACTGAATCATCTCACATGATCAACTCACAGAGGATAACCCACTTTGGGGACAGCGCGTCTGAGGTTTGCGGCCTCCCCTGCTGCCCAGGTGAGTTTGTCCCTCTGTCAGGTGGGTAGCTGACATTCCTTTGAACATTTTCCCTTTGAACATTTTCCCTCTGGGACAGTGTCTGTTTCTGGGGACCTGGAAGACTTTCCATGACCTCAGGATACAAGGGTCATGGTGAGGAAGGATAGTGTTGACCCCTAAGAATTACTAATACAAAGGGGATTTGGTTTCTCCTGATAGAAAATGGGGTAAGGGCTTGGTGCCCGTAGCACAGTGGTTACAGCGCCAGCCACATACACCGAGGGTGGCGGGTTTGAACCCAGTCCGGGCCAGCTAAGCAACAATGACAACTGCAACAACAACAAAATAGCTGGGCACTGTGGCGGGCACCTGTGGTCCCACCTACTTGGGAGGCTGAGGCAAGAGAATCACTTGGGCCCAAGAGTTTGAGGTTGCTGTGAGCTGTGGCACCATGGTACTCTACCAAGGATGACATAATGGGACTCTATCTCAAAAAAAAAAGGAAAAAAAGGAAAAGAAATGAAATGGGTTTAAGAAGCCAGACCTGTAAGTGTCCCCAGCAAGAGGAAGGGAGGAAGGGCCCCAGCTAGCCAGCCAGCCCCACTCACTTTGGGATGCAAACGGGTGGAGCAAAGGCTGACCCTACCCAGCCATCCCAGCGCCAGGCCCTGCAGAATCACTGAAGCCACCAGAGCCTGCCCAAGGCAGCCACTGTGGCACCTGGCCTGCATGCCCAGCCCTACCTGGGTGCTATGTGGCCACAAAACTGAAATGATTTACCCTGCACGATGACTCTGAGCAGCAGGTGTCAGCGTTGGAAGAGGAGGGACAGTCGCTAAGAGACAGGAGCCCCTGAGCCTACTTCTGCTGCTCTGCAGTGAATTTCTGGGACTCGAATCTGGGGCCTTCACCCTACCTCCCAACTCAGTATTCTCCCTCCTACCCTCTCCCTGCTCCAACTACGGCCTCCTTGTCAGAAACAGCCACTGCTGTCCAAGAATTTCCTAGCAGCGAGTGGCAGAAGCTTGTCACCAGAGCAAGAAGGTCTGTGTGTCTTTCCCCACCCAAACAGGAACAAATGGGATCAATAAACATTTGTGGGGTAAATGAATGAATCTTCTCAACAGACATAGGGAAGCACCTATCCAGAACAGGGAGAGGTGTGGGCCACACGACAGTGACAAGACACTGTCCCTGCTTCTGAGGCTGACATTGCCAGGAGAGGGGACTCACTTATCCACTTGCTTCCTGCTGGCTGGCTGCCCCTCCGTCCCCACAACAGTGCCTGGCACTGGGTGGACAGGAGGAAGGAAGAAGTCCAAGAGAGAGAAGTAACAGGGGAGCCTCTTCCGTTGTCATTCTGAGTTATGGGCTCTGGGTTCTGATTGTTTAGGTGCTGAGACAAGTTCTAGTTTCTAGATGTGGGTCCCTAGGCCCTGGGACCTAGATCCTAGTCCTTGGTGCTGAGTTATATGTTCTGAGCTCCGAGCTCTGGGTTGTGGGTTTGGGGTCCCACAGCTATGTGGATCTGGGCTCTACAACCTGAGACCTGGATTCTGAGGTCTGGTCTCTGGGCCCCAGGCTCAGAATTTGTGATGTTTGGGATTCTGAACTAATGTAGGTTCTGGATTTGAGAGGTTCCAGGCTTTGTGCTGTTTTGAACCCCAGGTTCATGAGTTCTGGGCAGGGGGCTGTGGTTCCTGGTTCCAGGGTTCTAGGCTATAGTCCTCAACTCTAAACTGTGGACCCCAGATACTGCCTTTGGACTCTGGCCTTTGGACCAGGCAAGGAGGATAGTTTGCCCAAGGTCAAGTAAAGTCATTATTACATTTAATGCCTTGACTCTGAGCTCCTCAAGGGTAGGAACTCTCATTCAGTGTATTCACTGATGCAGCCCCCATGTCTGCCACAGTGTATGGCTTATAGGAAGTGTTCAGCACACGTGCATACTCGAGTGACCGCACAAACACACAATCCTCCTGCCAGCATGCCCTCTGTGGCTATAGCTGGCAGCAAGAGAGGAGGCCAGAATGCTCTGGAGCTTTGTGGGGAGGGAGGGAAACTGTTGAGGAGGCATGGAGGCCCTGGGGTTACTATGCATCAGTAGAGAGGGAAACACCTGCCCAGCTAAGCCCCAGGTTGGTTCCTGGCTGTTCTTGGTGTCTACTCTATAGGGAAGGACATGGAGAGGCTAGGGGTGCCACACCAGGGGTGTTGGCCTCGGAGTCTGTGCTACTCGGCTGGGGCACCCGGGACAAGCTGCTGGCCTGCAGGAGACCTTGGCCTCCCCAGTTCTAAGCAAAGCACTTACCAGTTCCAACAGTCTGATATGGGAAGAATTTTTTTAAACGTCCTGGACTAGGTGGACGTCAGGGCTGTCAAGGAACAAGGACAGTGCAATCAGAAATAATAGTCATCAGAGGGGCGGCACCTGTGGCTTAGTGAGTAGGGCACTGGCCCCATACACCAAGGGTGGCAAGTTCGAACCCAGCCCCGGCCAAACTGCAACAAAAAAATAGCCGGGCTTTGTGGAGAGTGCCTGTAGTCCCAGCTACTCGGGAGGCTGAGGCAGGAGAATTGCCTAAGCCCAAGAGCTGGTGGTTGCTGTGAGCTGTGATGCCATGGCACTCTACTGAGGGTGATAAAGTAAAACTCTGTCTCTGAAAAAAATAAATAAATAAAAGTCATCAGGGATTCCAGTGAATAGACATCTGGTGATCAGAGATGATGACAATTAAGGTTAAAAGATACCATATGATGGGCAGTGCCTGTGGCTTAGTGGGTAGAGGACTGGCTCCATATACCGAGAGTGGCAGGTTCAGGCCCAGCCCCATCCAAACTGCAACAAAAAAAGTGGCCAGGCTTTGTGGTAGGCACCTGTAGTCCCAGCTTCCTGGGAGACTGAGGCAGGAGAATTGCCTGACCCCAGGAGTTGGAGGTTGCTGTGAGCTGTGACGCCACAGCACTCTACCGAGAGCAATAAAGTGAGACTCTGTCTCTACAAAAAAAAAAAAAAAAGATACCGTATGATTATGGTATATGATTAGAATGACTTGTAATTAGGGACAAGGGAGTTATCAAAAGATTCTCAGAGAGGGGCCTGGTCATACACTGACCATCAGGAGGCAGTACTCAGAGGTCTCAGTGATCAGCATTATCACTGATCAAATATGTCATTAATCATTTATGGAGGCCTGGGTGCCTGAGGCCACGGGTGACCAGGAGCCTTACTGACGAAAGCATTTGATGTTCATGCCCTTGATGACCAAGGGTACAGGAGGCTCTGGTGATCAGATTTAATGACTGGAGAGCTGGGTGAAGAGAAGCCACCAGTGACCAGAAGCATCGATGATTAGAGGATTTGGTGGTCGGAGAGGTTTGTGACGTGACACCAATGACCAGAGGTGTATGGGACTTTGGAAAACAGGAACACTGGTCATCAAGAAAGACTTTGAAGATGATTCAGTGATCGCTGATGTGGGACATCAGAGACTCAGGTCAGAAGAGATCTGAATGATGAGTTGAACAAGAGTTGCTGGGGACCACGATGACAGAACACTTGTGGTGAGAAGATCCTATGATCGGGCTGGATATTGCTGGTCAGAGACATACACTGTTTCTTTGATTTTCTTTCTTTTTTTTTTTTTTTAGAGACAGAGTCTCACTATGTCACCCTCAGTAGAGTGAAGTAGCATCGCAGTTCACAGCAACCTCCAACCCTTGGGCTTAAGCGATTCTCTTGACTCAGCCTCCCATGTAGCTGGGGCTACAGGTGTCTGCCACAACACCACAAGGCTGTTTTTTTGTTGCAGTTGTCATTGTTGTTTAGCTGACCACAGGCCAGGTTCGAACCCGCCAGCCTCAGTGTATGTGGCCGGCACCCAACCCACTGGGCTCTGGGCTCTGCCAGAGACATACCCTGCTAAAAGAGTCGGTGGTGATGAGAAACAGTTTGACAGGAGGTGCCGGAGAACACATGTGAATGATCAGCTTATCACTAGAAAAAACACTCATCAGTGACACCAGTGATCATACTCATTGATGACCCACGACATCAGGGACTAGGTGCCTTGATGATCAGAAACACGATGGGATGTTTGTGATCAGACATACAATAGGTAAGCAAAGACAGGTACCTGGGACATGGGCAACCACGTTTTGTGGATGTCAGTAATCAGACTCATCGTTGAGCAGAAGCTTTGATGAAATATTGGTGATCAAGTATTAGCGGTCAATTAGTGATCAAGCTCTCTTGATCAGACATGTCATTGATCAGCAATATCAATTGTAGTGGTTTTTACTAATGACCAACATCACTGATCAAAGATGACAGCAATCAATGACATCAGTGATCAAAGACATTGGTGATCAAGATTGTTAATGAACAGGAATATTGATGACCAGGCATCTCAGCAGCCAGTGCTGATCAGCATCTGGGGGGAAGAGGACGGGCAGACTCAGTCCTTGTTGGGTTCTGCAAAAGTCTCCATGGGAACCTTGTTGAACCCTCAGGAAAAGAATCAGGGTATGGACCAAAGGCTGGAGAAACCACAGCCCCCCTGCACCTCCCCGGTATCCACCCAGCACTACGACCCCTGGTAATAGGACAACAAGGAAGCTATTCAAAGGAGGACAGCCAGGATGTCAGTGGCAAGATCAGACGCAGGCCACAACGGCCCATCCCTATCCCAGGAGTCCTCCCCTCCAAACTTCCCAGCAGCAGGAGCAATGCCACCTGCCTGCTTAGCTTCACGCCCCAGGCTTGGCAGCCCTGGGAGCCCATGAGACAGGCCAGAGGCATTCACAAAAAGTATTTTATTATTCTTAACAGTATTCACTTTAAAGGAATAGGAGGATAGCATACAATTTTTACAGACAATATATAAATGTTGTACATAATTAACAATAACTTAGTTCACTAATCCAAAATAAAACAAGCCAAATAAAACATAAAAACAGAAAATACTGCCAATTCTCTTTTTATGCGGATACTAGTACAAAATAAGTTACTTCTGCCTGTGGTGCTCCCCGCAGCGATCGCCTGCCCATATTGCACTTGGTCGACTACATCAGCACAATGTTCTTCCCGGGCCAGGGCCCCCTGCCCCTGCCGGCCACCGCACCCCGACATCACCGCGTACAGAATCTAAGCTCGGGATTCATTATGTACAGCTGTACCTTGGGAAGGATCCAGACAGCCACAGCAAAGCAGAACCAGGGACTCCAGCAGGCACTGGGCCTCTCCTTCAGCCCTGTCCTGACCGCCCCAGCTCCGACCAGGCCGGCAAACCCAACCAGCCCCCGGAAACCCAGAGCAGAAGAGGCCCCTCCCCGGCCCCCAGCTTTCGTTTTTTAGGGCTGTGATATCCAAGAACTTTTCCAGAAATAATTGCAAAGTTTCAACCTCGGTTTGTAGGTTTTATTCCTTTCCGTAGCAGGGCTTCCGTGGCAACGTACAATTGACTGGACCCAAAAAGAGCTTAAAAATAAAACAACTAACTCATCGGTGAGTTAAACTTATGCAGTTGTTTTGTTTTTAGTATTTTTTCTTTTATCTCAGAGTGGGAGGGGAGTGGGTGTGGGGTAAGCAGAAAAAGGATGTATTTACAGGGGTCCACCTGGCAAAGAAGGCAGGCTGTGGCTTGGGCCAGTTAAGGGGACACAGTCATACGAGCTTTGGCCACAAAGCCAAGGGAGCAATCTGGGAGACGTTTCCCCTTTCAAGAAAATGTTGTTTCCTTCCTGTGACCCAGCCCTGGCCTGGGAATCTGCGCAGGACTGCCCGTGATTGTCTCTGCCCTCTAGGGCCCAGCCCATCAGGGCAGGCACCCGCTCACCCTCCCTGGGCCTCGGCCCCTCTGGCCTTGGCTCAGCAGAGCCTGCAGTTCAGCTGTTTCAGAGAGGAAGGCCAGAGGAAAAGGGGTGTGGGCTGAGGTCCCCCCAGTTCTGCCCCCCAGAGCCCTGGCCAGCAGAATGGCCAAGTGGCAATCAGACCCAAGGAAGAACCAGGAGAACTCAGGACAGCTCAGACCTCCAAGTCTCCAAGTCCTTATTAGAAAGAAGAGCAAAATAAATTATTTTTTTGCCTATTCCTTTTGCCTTCAAACAACGGTTGCCTCCGTCTGTTCTCTGTCCCCTCCTTTTCTCTTCATAAAGTTGTCCTTCTTGCTTTCCAAACAATTGTCCATGAAGGAGCCCCACCTGGCCAGCAGTAGGTGAGGAGGCAGCCTCTCGGCCCAGTTAGGGATATTCACAGTAACTGTCGGCAGGCTGATGAGGCGGCCTCCCAGGAGAGGAGGCGCTGGGCTCTGGCAGGCCTGACAGGAGTGATGTCAGTCTTTGGGAAGGGTGTGCAGCTAAGGGTTTGGTCCACCCATGTTGGGAGTGTCAGGCCTGGCTCCACCAGCTGCCCTCTTCAATATCCGTCTGACTGCTCAGAGGGAGGCCGTCCCTAGCCCATGGCGGTCACCATGCTGGATGGGTGAGGGTGGCCAAAGGAGAGGCTGGAAGAAGGGTGGATGGGTGTTGGGGTGGGCAAGATGTGTCCTGAGTGGCTGAAGGGTGGGAGGTGGCCCACAGGTGCCATGTGTCCGGCCAGGGCGGCAGCGCTGAAGGGGGCCGACTTCTCCTGCATGCACTTGGACAGCTCCTCGAAGCACTCTGCCCCCTTCTTGCTCTTCTTGGACTTATTGGACATCTTCCGGTTCCGGGTCTGGATCCCCTCCTTCTTCATGGTCAGAGGCCTGTTAACCTAGAAGCCACCACGATGTTTTCAGAGGGTCGATTCCCATCCCCTGGGAAGATCCCCCACACTCTGGTGCAGAGGCAGGCCTGGCTTAAGGGTCCCCTGGAGCGCTCCCAACCTCCTAACCTCCCCCGCCCCCTTGTGGCACTTTCACCATTTCAGGAAGGGCAGTTTTCAGTGCCTGGGACTGCCCCACACCCTGCCGGTCCCTCAGCCTCCCTGGCTCCTGCACCCTAAATGCCAGCACTGCCCCACATCCAGACAACTGAAATCCCCCTCCAACTTTTTTACCCCTAGACCCTCTGGGCCCTGCTCCAGCCAGCTTTACCTCCTGACAGAGGCAAGCACCCCCCTCTTATGGGAAGCCCTTTTGGTGTTCAGGGCTTGTCCTGCAGGCAGACACAGCGGCTTTCCAAGCCAAGCCAAGCTGGATACTGGGGCTGGGGCGTCTTGCCTGGCAGCACAAAGAGCAGAGGTCCCAAGGGAGGGGCGGGGCACACTCACATTGTGCAGCTTGTAGTAGAGGCCACAGGCGTTGCAGACCGGGTCCCCATTGGCGTTTCGGCGCCATAAGGTGGTGGTTGTCGTCTGACAATTCGCACAACAGGTGCCGGCTCTTCTGGCGGCGGACTGGGAGGGAAGGGCAGCATCAGCAGGCTGGGCTCCCACGCCCACCTTGACCTCCCTCCTGACCCCCCCTAGCCCCAGCCCCCACCAACTCAGCCAAGGAGCGGTAAATCTCACAGGGAATCAAGGTATCTCAGAATCGTGGAATTTTAGAATTAGAGAGTTAAACAAGTTGAGAATCACAGAACTTCAGAATGGAGAACTCTCAGAAGCCTGATCTTATACTCAACAAAATTGCAAATCTAGAAAGGAGAATTAGCCACCTCCCCCAACTGCCCTGCTGTCCAGCTCCATTAAAGGGAGACCAAGGCCCAAGAGAGGCACCCTGAGGCCAAGCTGGATCCGTTCCCCACAAACCCCTGGGTCCTCCCTTTCTCCTCCTGTAGGACTGCCCTCAAAATCCATAATCCTGGGGAGTCTGTGCCCTAGTGTCTGGGCAGGGAAGGTGGATGTAAAACGCCAGGTTAAAAGTGTGCACAGCTATACTGTCTGAAATAGTAGCCGCTCCCGCCATGCAGCTGTTTGCATTCAATTTAACTACAAGTTAATAACATCAGAACTTCAGTTCCCTGGGCTGGACTAGCTATAATTCAAGCGATCCTCAGTCACGTGTTGCCTGGGGCTCCCACAGTGGACAGTGCAGATACAGACATTCCCATCCTTCCAGCTGCCCTACCTATCCAGCCCCCCTGAGTCCCTCAGGAAATGCCAGGCAGAGATGGGATATGGAAATGAGTGTCTGGTCCCTGGAGAAAGGAGCTGAGAGGGCACCTTTACCCAAGGAAGCAGAGCCCCTCTCCTGGCCCCACCAGCACCACCCACAGTCACAGAATAAGTTCCCCCAACACTTCCCAGAGAACCACAGGCTGGTTCGCAAAAGCCAGATGGGAAGGGGGGTGCTGAGGCCAACAGAGTCTGGAATAGCCACAGCGAACCTGGTCACAGAAGGGGCAGAGGGATTGCAGCCGCAGGGTGGGGTGGAGGGGTGAGTAAGCAGCCTGAAGCTGGAATTCTGACTCAGGGGCCAACACCGTGCGGGCCACCCCTACCCCCACCCGGCCCTCACCCCGCCCTCCAGGGGGAGAAAAAGGGCCCCCAAAGCGGGGAACGATTTAAGCCTCATAAATCACTTCGCCCTGAAAAAATATATTTATTATTCTTAGCATTTTACGCATTATTTGCAGAGTGGAGGGTATTAGAAATTTCAAAACAGCCCAGTGAGAGGCAGGACTGAGCCGAGGAGACTCTACAAACTCGCGGAGTCCGGAAACAGATACACGAAGTTTCCTTATCTTCAGGCTGCAGATGTCCGGATAGGAAACTCCGGCAGGAGATCCGAAAGGGCATTTTTTTTTAATCACTCAAATGAAAATACACAGTATAGGTGACTCCATGGAAAAATAATAAAGGGCAGGTTTTTCTGGTGGCTAGTGTGTGTGTTTTATTTAAATAAGTGCGAGGAGATTGTGAGGGGGACGGGGAGGGCCGCCCAGAGCCAGCCACAAGGAAAAGTACTCTATGGCCCTATTTTTAAAAAGAGTTAAACAGAAGCCAGAGGTCGGGAGTTGGGTGCTAAGACACTCAACTTTGGGGATCCCTGCACGGGGTGGCACGAGGGTACCTAGTGGGCCGATAAAGAAGTCTAGCCTGAAAGAATCTGGCCAGAAAAAAGAGGGACCCCCTCCCCATGGATACCCAGGTGCTTTTAATGATAAAAAAGAATTTCAAGTGGTAAAACATCTACATTTGAAGGGTTTTTATTTTCCCTTAATTAACTGCCAGCCCCCACACAGCCTGCCACTGGAGCCTGCTAGGCTCTTACCAGTCTCCGCTTGGGCTTAATGAGCGGCCGGTTCTGCCCGTTCATCTTGTGGTAGAGGCCACAGGCGTTACACAGGTAGTGGCCGGTGCCGTCCCGCCGCCAGAGAGGGGTGGCTGTGGCCCCACAGTTGACACACTCTCGGCCTTCTGGAAGGGGACAAGGAGAGATGCGGGGCCTGCTTAACTAACGAGGTCATGGGGCAGTCACCCCCAGGCATGAGGTCCATGAGGTCTGCTGGGCTGCACCAGGGGTGACTTTTTGTCTCAGCCCCAGGCAGGAAGGGCACAGGGAGGCCTTTGAGGCCACCCCCCCCAATTTAAATTCTCCAGAGAAGGAATGGAAACAAGGGAGGAGACAGGGAATGGGGCAGGACCCCAGGGATTCTGGAGTGACAGGGAAAGGATATTTACTGCAAACTTTGCTGAGGGCAGCCAGGTGGCAGGAGCCACCCAGCTCGACCTGGCTGGGCCCAGAGGCTCTCTCCCTCCCTCTCGGGCCTGTTCTCTTTTCCCCACTGTGGCTCCCATCTCCAAAATGTCTCCCACATTTCGCACCCTCTGCCTCCGTCATTATCTGCTCTCGGCCCAGGGTCATTATCTTCTTTCTCCCCAACTTTTCCCCCCTTCCACGAAAGCCCTAGAATTCAGTCCTGGACACCAATCAAAACTGCTCTTCTTTAAAATAAAATAAATAATAAGCCCTTTCGTTTTTAGACTAAGTGGCCTTGTTTTTCTGTTTTGGGTCTTTTTTTTTTTTAAGCTAAAAGGCCATCTGGAATTCAAATAAAATGCAAAACAAACTTAGGAGAAAGGACTGAGCAGAGGCGGACCGAGCAAACGCAAACTGGCTGGTCTGAGCCGAACCAGGACGAGCGAGGGATGAGGTGGGTGCTGTCCCAGGCGCCAGCGGGAACAGAGCAACTGCCTTAGCTTCGTGTCCCCCAAAGAAGTTCTCCATTTAGTTTAAACTAAAATCCAGTCTATAACAGCAAAAGAAGGTTGCTCCCGGACTTAGCAGTTAAAGTTTTAAAAATCTCTCTCCCTGGCCCACAGGGGTCGGGAACAAAGCATGGACGGCAGGGCTGCTGCGCTAGTCACGGGTTTCTGGGTTTCTGCTTTCGGGCCAGGTTCTTGGACAAACCCAGCTGGCCCCAGCCAACTGCTGCGGGCAAAGGGGCGGGGGCACCTGTGGTTTCATCCCCTTACTCCACCTTTCAAGGAGGCAGAACTAAGGACATGCCACTGGGGGCAGGAACAGGGATAGGTCCTGGGAATTTTGCTAGAGGGAAAGTCTCCCAAGGAGATAGGAACTGCTGAAATCCCAAGATCCGACTAATTGAGTTGGAGAACCAGATTCCTTAAGGGTTTAGAACCTCTGGCGGGCCCACAGCATGCACACATGCTCACAGACACATGTACACACATGTTCGTAGACATGTGTACACAGAGGTACACACAGACTTGCTTCCCTCCCCTCAAATATTAAGTCATGAGGCTGCTTGAATTTTCACTCAAGTTTCAGGAAGGGGAAGGGGGAATTCCCACTCTGTGCTCTGGTCTGGCAGCAGCGGCCAACCTTGGAAGGTGGGTAGGAAGGAGTGGAGAAGGGACATGAACTTTGGGGGCCCCCAGGAATGCCACTTAAGAAAATGACAAAAGTTTCAGAGTCCCCTTTCCCTATTCTGGGGTCTCAAACATCTGTTGGAAACTATTAGAGAGGAACATGACCCATTCCTGGAGACCAGCACTAACCCCTCTTTCAAATCACCCCTCCCACACAGGCACAAAGTGTCCCCACTTCCACTGTTTCAGCACCTGCCTTTACCTGAGCAGGAACGTGCCTTGCTGCGCTGCTTAGGGGTGAAGCTGGAGGCCGGGCCACCCAGGAAGCCTCCGGGGTGAAAGAGTCCACTGCCGTAGTCGTGGGCAGCAGTCGGCACATAGGAGGGGTAGGTGGGAATTGGGTGGTGTGTGGCAGGCTGGGTGCCCATGGCAGCTAGGCCTGGGCGCAGGGGACTGCCACTTTCCATCTTCATGCTCTCTGTCAGTGACACCTGGTACTTGACACCATCCTTGTCCTCCCCTCGTGCTGCACTACCCCCTGCAGAAGAGGAGGCTGGGGAGGCAGCCCCTGTGGTGCTGGGGTCTGGAGACACTTCTTTGGGTGGTGTGGGTGGGAAGCCGAAGAGGTGGGAGCCAGAATGGGCTGCAGTGGGGGTAAGGGAGGCCACTGAGCTCCCGCTGCCTCCCCCACTCCCACCCCCGGCCCCTGGGTATACAGAGAGTGGGCCTCCAGGGCCTCCAGCAGCGGAGGGGTGCAGAGGCGTCTTGGAGAAAGGGCTCACGGTCCAGGGGTTGTGGTGGTGTGCAGCAGCCGCAGAGAGGGCTGCTTTGCCCCCGTCCAGCCAGGGCAAACCAGGGCTGTGCAACAAGTGTGGGCGGCACATCTGTCCTCCAGTCAGGCGGGCTGCAGGTGGAGGAAGAGGTCAGGGTGAGCAGGGCCAGGGGAGCCCCTATCACAGACACTCCAGATTACAACTCACAGAACAATCAGCAGGAGCCCCATCCTCAGAGAAAACCAGAAACATAACACCCCAACCAGTAATAATCAGGAATGTCAGCCCAAAGCGAAAGGACGACTGGGAGAGAAGGAACCCCAGGAGACAGGCCCTACAGAGAACCCTCACAGGCCTATGGGTCCCAGACCCTCCCCAATGGGACGCTACCCCCACCTTTCCCGCCCAATTTCTCAGCTGCTCAGATGTCTGCGGATCCCACATCCGGGAAGCAGGCAGCCGGCCCTCCTCTCCCCTCCCTCTCCTGGCGCGTGACGCCGGGTTCCCAGTCACCCACGGGCTCCAGCCTCACCATGCGCCGGACTGTAGGAGACGCGCGCCCGCGCGTGGGCTGGGTTGGCATAGTAGGGGTTGCCCTGCGAGTCCAGGTGGTTGAAGAAGACGTCCACCTCGTCGGGAGGCAGCAGCTGCGCGGGCTCCATGTAGTTGTGCGCCAGGCCGGGGTGGTGCGAGTCGGGGTGCTGCGCGTTCAGCACCGCGGGGTGCGCCATCCAACGCGGCTGCTCCGGCGCCACCTCCATGGCCAACGGCCGCGGCCGGGGATCTGGGCCGAGACCGCAGCGGACCTGCGCAACGGAAAGGGGCATGAGGGGCTCTGCCAGCACCTGACACCTTCAAAGTCTCCGACGCTGTGTCCTGTGCGCCACCGGACCGCGATCCGCAAGGACCAGTCCCGGGTGGGAGGAAAGTGCACGGCTCAAAACGAAAGGAAGGCGGGGGGAGGGGGTTCAGCCACGCACACCCATACGGTGACCTGTGGTCGCAGTGCCACACACCCGTACACCAGGGTCACACGTGGGGACAAACCCTGACACCAGTGACTTCAACAAAGCACAGAGCGGCCCTAAAGTCAGACTCACGATGCCCCCCCACACGTAAACACACGAACACAAACTAAAAGTTAGAGACAGGCGTTCGGATACCCCTGGGGTACATGATGCCAGGGGCACACACACCACTACATCTAGCGCCGGATACACATACTGACCTCAAACTCCCCCAAACAAACCCACGCAGCCCCACGGACTGAGAGCCAGCCCCCTGAACGCAGTCCTAAGCCACACAACCCCGAGAACCCTCACTTTGGCACCCCAAAGCTGTCACCTTCAGCCTGGCCCCGACCCTGAGCCTCCGCAGAGATCCCTCAAAGCTGAGAGCGTCCCAGGCCCCCAGCAGGATCTCGCACCCCAAACTTACACACGCACCGCGGCAGGGAGGGGAGGGACGCGGCAGTTGAGAATGAGAATCACTGGCAGAAGCCCGGGGGACCAAGGGCCCAGGGACGGCGAGTCCGGAGGGTGGCGGGACTCAATGGGTAGGAGACGGGAGTAGCGCGCGCCTCGGCCTCGGGCCCGCCCGGCTCGGGCCCCTCGGCATCGTCCGGCCGCCCTGGCGCCAGCTGCCGACTCCTGCACAGACATGAAGCAGGGGCCGCGCACGCCTAAGAAGCCCGCGCCAGCCAATCAGCACTGCGCGCCGCCCAGCCTCCGCCCTCCATTGGCTGCGCCCTCAACTCCCGAACCGCTGGACTTCGGGACTGACCCTCGGGCCGGCCCCCTCTGCCGGCAGGCCCCCTCCCTGCGCCCTCCCGGCGGCCCCTGCTGCCAACTCACCTCCCTAAACAAGCGACCCTCACCCCACGGACTAACCCCTGCACGTACTCTTGCGAACACTCCCGGATCCTTCTAACCTCTGGGCATCCCCACCAGTAACTACCAAAAGGGCCCCCCTCCCGAGGAGCCAGCGCCACGCACCCTGTGGTTGTCCTCTCCCGGACAACCTAGCCCCTCCACTCTCTCGGAGGAAGCCCCACCTTCTTTACCACTGGACGTGGTCAGTCCAACTACCTACTCAGACCGTTCCCTCCCCCAACTCGGGTTCTGGCTGGATGGGGGTGGTGGGAAGGCTTGGAGGACAGTGGCGGACTGCAATAGCTAAGCCGATAGGGGCAAGAACCATATGGCCCGAGAGGGCACCTGGGCCTCGGACACGCGGTTGCTCAGGGTCGTGTATGACCCAGTGGAGGTGGCCTGGCCTGCGACTCCACAGAGGGGGAGGGGGCGTCCCCTACCCGGGCGTGGCCTTCGCTGGCCAACCGGCCGAATTGCCTGGGGCGAGGCCGTGGAGACCAGGACTGGCGCCGGCGCCGGCTGAAAGGAGACGCCCCCGGGCAGGAGGAGGCATTTTTTCCTCGGAGGTCCCCGAGGCGGCCTCTGGGGAGGAGGAGGCTGTGGTCTCAGGACTCTGTCCCCGAAGTCACCTGGCAATCTTCTCCACACCCTTGCAGCCCTGAGATTCAGCGCTATGGGTCGAGTGGGCCGGGACACAAATCTCTTTGCTCCCTTCCTTTGTACAGACCAGGAAGACTGAGGTCGAAGAGAGCCTAAAGCCAAGGAGGGGACCCAGCACAAAGGAATTTGGGGGGACCTAGACAGGTGCAAAGTAATGGGGGAGTCACCAACATCCTCCAGCCCTTCTCTCTTGCTGGGCCCACGGCTCCCGGGGTACACGCCCAGAGGGATCCCAGGTGGGTCTGTGGCACGGGCAGGACTGGGGTCCCGGCCACCCCCCGGTAGAGTGGGGGAGGGGCGGCAGGATTGACAGTCGGTAATTGGGTAACTGGAGGCGGCTTCTCCGGCCGGGCGGCCCCGCCACCGCGACGCCGGGCCCCTGACGTCACCCGATTCGCCAGGAAATGAACTTTTTAATAATCCGAGGAGGGAGGAAAGCCCTCGGTCCCCTCGGCTCGGGGGGCGCCCGGCTGGGCTCAGCTCCGCGGGCGCGCCCCCGTCACCCCCTCCCAGGCCACCTCAGGACAGCGCCCAGGGAGCTTGCGCTTGGGCTGGGGCCTCCTACTGCCTTTGCGACTGGAGTTCGTTTGTCTGTACGAGGCCTTAGCGCAGGTAAAGCGCGGGGCTCGGGGGGCGCAGAGCTCCACAGGGCTGTTGACTAGCGTGTCTCGGGCTGTTGGGGACCCGCCGGCCCGAGTTGCTCGCTGCGCCTCCCGCCCCGCTCCACTCTGCGGCGCACGGGGCCCAAGCTGCTCGGACTCCACTCGGCGTAGAGGAGGCCGGCGCCCGCCCGGGAAGGCGCACTGGGGACGGGAGCGCGATCGCGAGCCCTCCCCTCCACCGGCACCAGGCCTCCGCGGGCCAGGCCAGGCAGGTGAGCGGTTTCCGGTTTCCGTACCTCTCAGCTCGCGCTCCCCGAAACGCGCGCGGTCTGGCTGGAGCCCACTGTCTCTCCGTACTTCTCTCCGCCTTTAGCTTATAATTCTTCTCAACGCATACAATGAGATCTCCACGGAGCTTCCAACCTTTTTGTTGTCTCGGGAGTCTAGCGGGAGCCTCTCAAGGACACCGCGCCCCGAGGATAATGCCAGGGACAGCTGGCAAGGCTGTCCTGCTCGAGCTCGAACCCTAGGACCCAACGCTGGAGGAGGCCGACCGGTCGCCGGCTGCTGGACGGTGAACGCCGCAGCCTAGCGGAAGCTTCCCTCCAGGCCGCGATCAGCGTCTCCGCTCGCAGGGAGGTGGCTGCTCCGGGCCCACGGGAAAGCAGGTAAATCTTTTTCTCCCAAAGGCGCGGCTAAAATCCCTTCGTTCTAGGTAGGTCTGCGGTTTCAGCACCGAGCTCAGGCGTCTAGTCCCTCTGGGACAGCCGGAGTGGAGGCGGCCAGCGCGGCCGGGACCCCTGCTCAAGTGTCAGCCCTTCGCTGCCGGCCCGCCTGGCGGAGAGAGGAGCTCGAGCGGGAATTTAATTACCCCGCTCGGCAGCTCAGAAAATCGCCTCGCAGAGGGGCTTAGCAGGGTGGTTAAGCAATGCTTGAACAGGGGCCTCGGGAGACCCGGGAGACCCGAGAGACCAAAGCCAGCTACCCTTCCCGAAATCCGGGCGTAAAGGGAAAAGGGAAGGTAGTTCTGCCCGGTCCCGTGAGGGCCTGTGGTTGCCTTCCTCGGACTGCACACAGGCGGCCGGCGTGGCTAAAGCCCTCACTTCGGTTCGAGTTCCTGCGTTGGAGGCGGGACTGCAGCGTCGGCGGCAGCAAGGAGCCCGCATAGGAGGAAAAATGAAACCCCGAGTAGCGGGGCTCCCAGCTGGCGGATAAACGGGGGCTGCCAGACCAACCGACTGACACCAGCAGGGTCCCGGCCCATTAAGCCAGAGACTGTCCTCCTACCAGATCGCCCAACCTAAGGGGAGGGTCCGGGCAGCCCCAGGATCGTTTGGGCTCTGGGCTGCACGTGAAGGATTGATGAGAACAGATTCATTCCAGTTTATGGCCTTGGATTTGGGGATCCCCAAAACACCTCCAGAGAGACAAGCTCCCCCTTTTAGCTTTTTGTTTGTTCCCAACCTAGTTAAAATGGTGACTGCTGCCTTTGATAGCTTTAAGAAACTGTCACTTTGCTTACCTGGGAACAAGATTTCTCTGAGGGGAGGGGAGGTCAGCCAGGAAACTGAATTTCTAAAGACCCTTTTTGAGTAACCTAGGGAAACCCCCACCGTACCCGGCATGCTACCTGTGGCCCCTGGTGTTTTTGCCTGGTAGCTGGGGGCACAGCAGGTCCGGCTGGTTCTAGAGTGCCAGGCAGGGTTCTCAGGCCAGAGCTCAGAGATGCGCAGGTCTCCCCAGTTCCACGCAGCTCTCCTGGCTGCACCCTTTGTTTAAACTTGTTCATCTCAGGTGGTCTGGATCATAAGTTTGCCCTCTCTTAGTAGCTCAGTCCTTTCTACCTTCTCCTACGGCAGCTATGCGGCCTGCAGTTTGGGGGTGGGAGGGAGGCATCAATGAACCCCCTTTGCTTAAGTGCTGCCTTCCATAGAGATTTAATTCCCGGGGGAGCGGTTCCCAGCCTCAAACTGCCAATAAATCTTGAGGGATCCTGGGAAGGAAACAGGGGCGCCTTACAAAGAGGGGTTCAGAAGTCCTCTCTAGGTCGAGGCCTCAGACCTCAGGCAGCAGCCATCCCTCCAGAAGGGGCCCCCGGGGGGTACTACAACTATAACAGCCCCTCCTGCTCTTTGGGGTTCACTTCCAGCCCCTAAATCAGAAGACCAGTTCCCCTCTGGTCCTCCCTGCTTTCTCCCACCCTGTTTTGAATTATAGAGATTGCGGCCGAACGTCCTAGGTGTTAGCACCCAGACGAGGAGCCTCTCCGATTCTGTATCTCACTAGGTTCTAAAGCCCACCTAGTATGAAAAAACAGGTTAATTCTCCTTCCTAGACCCTGCTAAGACCCGCAGACAATCAGCCGCGTTTCTCCTTGTTCCCGGAACGCCATAGTTTACTCAGAGCTGCCGGAGGCCCGCATGACCACTGGTAAATTCGCCATAGTTCACTCAGAGCTGCCGGCGGCCGGGCAGCATGACTACTGGTAAATTCGTTTCGTTAGATGCAATTTGTTTGCAATTTGTCAACCCGGCTGGGAAACGCTCTCCAGACGCCTGGGCAGCCTCACTGGCCCTACCTGGTTCTCTCGAATCCTGCCTGCTCATAAACGAATCTCAGCTCAGGTTTCTGCGGAGACCAGAATGGAGCTCCCTGCCAGATGTTCCCGACCCCGGGAGACGAAGCTTTTTCCAAAACAACGAATTTCCTTCCTTGTTTTCCGGTAAAGGAGCGGCTGCCACACCCAGGAGCCCTGAACGCGGGGCCTTTCCCCTCGCGGTGAGGGCAACCCGGACTGAGTTCAAGACTGGCCACCGCCGAAAGATTCTAACTGCCGGGTTTCCAGACAGATCCAGAACATCGTCTACGCCAACCGGCGACAGATCCTGAAGCCCGCGGCGGCCCCATTCTTATTGAAATCCCACTAAACGGATTCCGACTCCGACTTGGGGCAGGGGGGTAACTTCCCGACCGCAGCTCTCCCCCACCCCACACCCCAGCCCCACAGGATAAAGGGCCGCGGGGCGCGGCGTGCGGGGGCGCAAGCAGGAGCGAGCCGGGTTAAGCCGCGCAAAGCCGGCGCACGGGACCAGCCGGCAGGTGCAGCCGCCTCTCGGCGGCCCGGCTCGGACGCATCCGCCGCCGCGGCCCAGGGGTGGGGGCGGCCGAGACAAAGGCCTCAGTTCGGGGGTCCGAAGGGGGGCTGCTTTGGAAGGCTCTGAGAATGCTGGGGCTCCAAGAAATGGGAAAGCATGAGGCCCGAGGCGGGCCTGCTGTCCCCAGACCCCCGAATACTCCCTCCGGGTTTAGGTTCCTATGACCTGAAGTTCAAGCCGCTGGCAGGGCCAGGGGTGAGCCTTAGGTAGGGGGCACAGAGCCAAACGGACCTGTGCGATTCCGATTCCGGCGAGCCGAGGGCCGGGAAGGGCCGGGGCCAGGCAGGTGGGAGTGAAGGGAACTTACCTAGAGAGGCGCAGTGGGCGGCGCCCCCGGGCGGACGGGCCGGAGCAGGCTGGGCGCACCGCGAGGTGTGTGGTTAGCGGGACCCCGGGCGCGGGCAGGCGGCCCTCACCAGCAGGGCCCGGCCGCCGTGCGGAGCGGCCGCATGGTGCTCAGCCTGCGGCTTCTGTCAGCCTGGTGGGCCACGGGGCCAGCTAGGGCGGAGGTGACAGCAGCCAAGAGATAGAGACTTGAGCGGCGAGGCCCCGCGGCGCTGGCCTAGCTACCTCGCTAGTGCTCGCGGTCTCTCCCTCCCCCATCGGCCGCAGCGCGGCTGCTTTTTATTTCGACATCACTTTGAGGGGGCGGGAGCGCCGCAGGGGGGCAGGAGGGTGCCTGGGTCTCTGCGCCCCGTCTACCCGGTTCAGCCGCCAGGCAGGCGGACTAAGGGCCGCTAGGCACTCGGGCGCGCACGCCCTGCTCGTCCACACTCCAGGCCACTCCCGCCCTTTCAGGGGCTTACACACGCGCGCCCCTAGTTCCTGGGATGCACGCTCAGAATGCCTGAGATGTCTCTCTTCCGAGACTCTCCCCGGGGAAGCTCACGAGCGGTGGACACACGCACTCACAGACGCAGGCACATAGACGCCGGCAGCTCCTTCATCAACCCACTTGCAGTAGCGTTCACAG